TCGAGGCTGCAGTGGCTGGGAGTGGCCACTGCACTCCAGTCTGGGTGATTGAGTGTGACTCCAACTCAAAAAAAAAAAGGAACTCTAAGAATCTTCAACTTCAGAAAGGGAACTTGGAAGGTGAGTTCTGCTTCTCAAATGAGTACCCTTGTGGCCCACATTTCTGCCCTTGGCCTCTAGGTGCAGCCTTCCAGGACTTGTGCTCTGGCCCTCGGTCAGCTGACCTGCATCTGGCCTCTGGAGCTACGTAAAATGAATTCAACACTGTTCTGTGTGACAGCCCTGCTTCTGTGGGAAGCACTAGGTCTTCTCCCACCAGCTAGACAGACCATTTATAGCTGGATTGTGGGGATTGTGAGATTCAGTAGTTTTCAATTTTTTTCCTTCAAAAAAATATACTTTTTGATATTGTAATTTTACTTCTTTCAGACTGATAAATTCATTATCAGCAGGCTTTCAAATATTTTTTTTAGCAGGATTCCTTCTTATATGAACTTGGATGCAGAAGTTCCCTGTGTCCAGGAGACAGACTGGAAGAAACAATGGTTGAGGGGAGGGGAGAAGGAAAGAGGGTAAAGGGGGAGGCACTCAGCCTTCCCCAGGGGGGTCTGGGCACTTCTGAAGGCCTTCTAGGAGCAGTTCCAGAACCACTGGTCTTCTTCCAAAGTTCCCAAATTAGACCCCACTCCAGACCTACTGAGCCAGAATGGGTGGGTGGGTGGGTAGAGGGACAGGAGGAGTTTGCATTTTTAAAACCTCCATGGAAGACTGATAGGCCAGACTTGCCTTTACTGTTTGGAAGGCTGTCCCACTCCTGTTAGAAAACAAAACCCAGATGAAATGTTAGTATACTGATTTTCTTAGTCACAATGGGAAATGCAACTGATAAGCAGACCGTGCTCCTGGAGGGAAACCATTTCCCAAGCAGAAAGTGCTGCTGACCTCACCTTGGAACGAGGGAGCAGGTGGGTGATCAAGCAACAGGGCAGGGCGTAGTGGCTCATGCCTGTAATTCCAGCACTTTGGGAGTCCGAGGTGAAAGAATTGCCTGAGCCCAGGAGTTCGAGACCAGCCTGGGCAGCATGGCGAGACCTCGTCACCACAGTAAATAAAAAAATCAGCTGAGGGTAGTGGTGCACACCTCTAGTTCTAGCTACTTGGGAGACTGAGGCAGAAGGAGCACCAAAAAAACCAAAACAGAAAGAAAAAAGCAGGTCTTACTGCAGCGAGTTAGTGGGGAGCCAGAATTTGAACTGGTGAGGTGATGTTTTCAGACCCCTTCCAGTTCTGGGGTCTTCTGGATGGGTCTCTGCTTGTCAGTCCCTGGAGAAGGAGGCTAGGTCTGGAAGCAGCTCTCCAGAGTGGCCACAGCAGCCCCTTCTGCCTGAGAGGGGTCCTCTGGGCATGAGATGCCTGGCAGTGAGGAACCTGGGGATAGAAGAGAAGCGAGGGGGAGAGGAGGGAGACATCCTGTCTCCCTGGGACTTGGGATCAGGGCACACAGTGCTAGAGGGGATAGTGGGAGGACATGGAGTGCAGGCCTTTTCAGATTTCCCACTTGAGTCGCAGGCTAAGCCTGTGCCCAGGGGATGAAACTAATTTCAGGATTAGTTTAAGCCTGAAATAATTGGGAAGGTAAAACTTCCAGGAGAGAAAACCACATCACACATTTCAAAGACAAAGCGAGACAATTTTTGGATTATCCCAAGCCCTTTCCTCCGTCTGCCAGTGGTCGGATTCTTGGTTGCTAGGGTCCTTTCCCTTGTGGACCTTTGTCCTGGCTGAAACCTCATTAGTCCTTGCACCAGCCTGGGGGGAGGTGGGCGGGGGCAGGCATGGTCCTCCCACTGTTTTAGGAGAGGCCAGTGAGGTTGAGGGGCTGGTGGCATAGATGCTGTGATGTGTTTGGGCAGGAGCACGGCTTGGACTTCCAGAGACTTCTGGATGCCAGCGCTTACAAGGAGGCCTATCGGAAGGACATGATCCGCTGGGGGGAGGAGAGGCGCCAGGCCGACCCCGGCTGCTTCTGCAGGAGCATCGTGAAGGGCGTCTCCCAGCCTGTTTGGGTAAGGGGGCTCCAAGGTGGCACGAAAGTAGCCTGTCTCTCCAGCCCTTCTCTGTTTCCATCTCTCTGTCTCCATTGCCACCATGCTGGCCCAAGCCTGCATCATCTCACACCCAGATAGTTGCAGTGACTTTCGCTCTTGCCCTCTAGGATCCATTCATTACTCAGCAGCCAGAGTATCCTTTTAAAAACTCATACTGGCTGGTCTCAGTGGCTCAATCAAGCCTGTAATCCCAGCACTTTGGGAGGCAGAGATGAGAGGATTGCCAGAGCTCAGGGGTTTGAGACAGCCTAAGCAACATGGCGAGACCTCGTCTTTACGGTAAGTCAAAAAGTTAGCCAGGCATGGTGACACATGCCTGTGGTTCCAGCTACTTGGAAGGCTGAGGCGGAAGGATCGCCCGAGCCCAGCAAGTCGAAGCTGGGGTGCTCGTGAGCATGCCACTGTACTCCAGACTGGGTGACAGAGTGAAACTCCATCTAAAAACAAAACCAAAAAATACTCAGACTGTCACTTCACTCTTCTATTGAGAGCACTTTGGTGGCTTTCTATCATTCTCATGAGCGAATCAAAATAAAGCAGGCCTAGGGCATGAGAAGGACTGAGGAGGGGCTGCTGTTTTTTAAGGGTGTCCAGGAAGGCCTCTCTGATGTGATGGTATTTGGGTGAGACATGAAGGACATAATGGAGTGAACTGAGTGGCTATTGGAGGAAGTAACTTTCCAGAAGGAGGCAGCAGGGAGTGCCAGGCCTGGGCTGGGGAGTGTGCCTGGTGTGTGTGAGGACAAGCCCGGGCCAGGGGTGAGGGTGAGTGGTAGGAGGTCAGGTCGGATCACACAGGGCCTGGGAAAGCCGGGACTTCACTCTGAGTGAGATGAGGAGGGCGGAGCGGGGGAGCCATGACCCGATTTAAGGGCAAAAGGCTCATCCAGCTGCTGGGGGAGGCAGGAGCAGAAGCAGTGAGGCTGGTGGAGAACAAAGGCAGGATGGCTCTGGCTTTGGCATGAAGCGGAGTGAAGGTGGAGTGGAGAGAAGGGCGTGGTTTTGCACATATTTTGAACATAGAGCCAACGGGATTTGCCTATGGATTGGCTAGGGGGCACAAGGTACCCTCGAAGGGTTCTGTCATGAGCAGCTGGACAGATAGAATTGTCGTTTTCTGAGACAGGAAAAATGGGGAGGAACGGGCTTGGAGAGAGAATCCAGAGCTGAGTTTCAGCCATGTTGAGATTGAGACGCTTGTCAACATGCATTGTGGTTACATGGTTACTGGGGGAGCTGCTTGCCTAGCAAGTCTCTCCTGCTAGACCGTAAGCTCCGAGAGGGTGGGCACGGGGTCTGTTTTGCTCGCCCCTCTAGCCCCAGCGCCTAGCACAGTGCCCAGCTACACAGTAGGTGCTTGCTGTGATGCTTGCTTAAGATCTGGTAGAGGACGTGTCAGCAGCACTGTCTGCCACGCCGTCAGCACTTGGCACGTGTTCCCTGGACGGCAAGTTCATAAGTGGATTGACTCCTGCCCTCAGCCACGCTGTGCTCATGATGAGGGGGTGGAGTCACCATACCACTGTCCTGGGTTCTGTAGTCCCCTGCTCCTCCTCACCTCCAGCCCCCTGTCCTGTGAGTCATCTGTCTGTTTCCCTCCCCTGCAGCTGGTGAGCGACACACGGAGGGTGTCTGACATCCAGTGGTTTCGGGAGACCTATGGAGCCACGGTGTACACGGTCCGTGTGGTAGCCTCGGAGCAGAGCCGACAACAGAGGGGCTGGGTGTTCACACCAGGTGAGCTGCTCGTGACTTTTGTCCCCAAGGCTCAGTATATAGGTCAGCTACCCCATGTGTAGTATATAGGTCAGCTACCCACCCTGTGGTCTTCTCCAGGTCTACGGTTCTTTTCCTGTCAGACTGGGGGGCAGGAGTGAGTGAGGGATTATAATGGGGAAACTGAGGCCTCCAGATTAGGGAGTGGCATAGTGAAGGGAGTCTTGGTGGGGGTGTGTGTCAAAATCCCCCTGTGACCTTAGCCTGGTTCCCTTTCCTGGGCTGACTTTTCTCTCTCTTTTTTGTTTGAGTCAAAGTCTCACTCTGTAACCCAGGCTAGAGTGTAGTGGCAAGCTCATGGCCACCACAGCCTCGAGTTGCTGGGCTCAGGTGACCCTTCTGCCCCAGCTTTCCAAGTAGCTGGAATTACAGGCATGCACCACTACGCCTGGCTAATTTTTCTTGAATCATTGTAGAGATGAAGTCTCGCCATATTGCCCAGGCTGGTCTCGAACCCCTGGGATCAGGCAATCCTCTCATCTCAGCCTCCCAAAGTGCTGGGATTACAGGCGTGAGCCACTGCACCTGGCTGGACTGACCTCTCAAGGCCAGTGGGCCTCTCTGGAGTTCTGGCTGGGATCCACCCATGGTCCTTCACCTTTGTTTTTCAGCCTGGTGGGGGCTGACAGTGGTTGGAGGGCAAGCCTGATAAACCTCACTCCTATGTGATTAACACAGTAGTGAGGGCCGCACAGGAAGCTCTACTAGGAGCATCAGTGGTGCAAGCCCAGGACCTGCTCCATGGGCAGCTCAGAGGCACAGCTCAGGCTTCCTTTATGTCCCAAGTCACTGTGACTAGAGAAGTTCAGACCTGGTGGGTCCGACCTCGGCTAATGTTGCTCACTCTGGGCCACGCACACAGGCCAGGCCCGTGCTGAGCACTCTGGGTGCGTGATACCATGTTATCCGGACACTTGTGTCAGGTGGATGCTGTCATCACTGTGACTATGTCAGATGAGACACTGGCCCAGAAAGGTCAAGTCTCTTTCCCAGGGATGTGGAGTGCAGGGAGGGGCGGGCCTCTCAACTGTGTGCTTCTAAGCTGCGCATACTGCCTCTTCAGAGGCTGGAATCAGACAAAACAGACATAACCAGCTTGACATAAAATAAAAACGCGATGCCCTTTTGGTTGTCTGTGGCTTTAGAGGACCCAGTCCACTCTGTATAGGCAGTGACAGGTGAAGAGTTAAGTCAGCAGGGACCATTGGGGGCTCAAGTGGTAGGGGGCAGCTAAACCTGCCCTCCCAGGGTCTCAGGGTGGGGAGGTGCCTTCTGGATGGGTAGAGCTTGGCTCTAGGGTAGCAGAGTAGAGGCCAGGGGAGGGCCCATCTGGGGCTAGCAGGCCTCGATACCTGGAGCCTGGAGGATTGGGGCCTGACCTCGCCATTCCTCCTCCACAGGGGTGGACGATGTGGAGTCAGAATGTGACCTGGATAACTTCGGAGTCTTTGACTGGGTCATTGAGAACCACGGAGATGAGCAGCACCTGGAGGAACAGTTGGAGAACCTGATAGAATTTATCCACTCCAGACTTTAGCTATTGGGCTTCAGGAATAAGCCCGGGGCTACTGAGTTTGGGGTGGGCTGACTGCAGGATTGAGGTCTCTGATCCTGGCCGAGGTGGAGGAGCAGACCAGCTTGGGTCTAGATCTCTGGGGGACCTGGTGGATGTCAGGCAAGGCAGGAAACCTCTGTGGATGTCTTTTTCTCTGTGGGGAAGACAGCCCCACTTCAAAGGGCAAGGGAGGTACACAGCCTGTGCCTGAAGCAGAAATGCCACTGTCCACTCAGCCCAGGGTGCCTTGCCTCCTAGGCCAGGTGCCCTCAGTCCCTTGTTCTGGGCACGATCCCAGGGCTCCTCAGTGTGGCTGCTAATAAACCTCCTTGGAGTACACACTCAGAACTGGATATCTCTCATTTCCTGATGCTAGCCCAGCCTATATTGGGCTCAGCAGGGCATGTGTCATGGTGGCAGTGGGTCCTTGTTCCCCTTCCACCTGGCCAGAGCATCTCCTGCAGAGGTTGACCTGTGCTGCGCCTCTCAGGCCTCAGGCTTGTCTGTTGGTGGTGGGGGTGGGCTTGAGGGTCTCGCCCTCTGGGACAACCCCAAGAAAGGCTCAGCAATTCACAGAAAGTGTCACCAGCAGTGCCGCTCTTAGTTACACAACCTTTCACCTTTTCCAAATGTCTGGATTCTTCACAGCCACCCTCTGAAGTGGGCAAGGAAAGTATTTTCATCTGTACTTGGTGGATGAACTCAGAGATGTCAAACAACTCACTTGGGGTTAGAGGCTTCATAAGTGCCAGCATTCAGAGTCAAGCACAGGCCCCCTGACCCCTGACCAGGCCCCCTTCTGCCACGTTCCTCTGGGGTGTGGTACAAAGTCTCATGGTTCCTTGCCATCCTCAGGCTGAGGCTGAGCACACCAGCTCTCTGGCCCTGGCTTTGTTCTCCCACAAATTCTGTCCATTCTTAGGATAAGGGGCGACCAAAGAACTTACGGTTTCTATGTGACCCAAACTGAACTTCGCTCATTCCTGTCCAAATCTCATTCCCTGCTGCCTCCACCCTTGCCAGGTGCCAGGCACTGGGGACATAAAAGTGAGCAGGTCACAAGCCTGTGCCTTAAACATCTCTCAGCTGGGCAACCTCCTTGGGTTCCTTCCCAATGGGGAGCTTTCCTGGCCTCTCAATAAATCCTGCTTTCTTAAAAAAAAAAAAAATCTCAGTCTCGTTAAGAGGCAGAAATTACCCCAAGGTGCCTGGGATCCTGAAGTCAGTGCCAGGGAGAATTTTAGTGGGGCTTCGAGGGAAGGGGGCTGGCACTTCATGACGCCCCAGGCCTGCTGCGCCCGGCGAACACTGACCCCTCATCCCAGAGGTGCTGTCTGTCTGCCTGGAAGACTCCCTTGAGCCTGGAGCTGATGCTTGTGAATAGTCCCAGTCACAGAAATGCCCGGAAGTCACTGGGGCCAAGTCTGGTGAACGTGGGAGGTAAAGTCTTGGGTCACAAACCTGCACGTGCATGAAAAAGTCAAGCATGAAGCAGAGGAGGGTGGGGTAGGGGCTCTGCTTACAGCCCTGAGAGGAGCCCTGGAGTCTCATGCTTGGCGAGGGCATCCCAGGGCAATGAGTGCAAGCATGGCCTGAGGCAGGGACTCTTCATGGGCCTTCCCAGCAGAGATATGTTGAGCAAATCAAGGCATTAGCAACATTCGATGAGAGCTGATTATCAGAACACCTGTGACCTGCAGGCGCTGTGCTGGTGTTTTTATATTCCTGACTCAGTCTTCACAAATGACTCCCACTTTAAAGATGAGGAAATAGACTCAGCATATTAGATAACTCACCCAGTCTGGGTCACAGATGATGGACTTTGAGCACTGGAATTTGAGCTGGGATTTGTGTCCCTGTAAAGTCTCTCCTCTGGGCCATACGCTCTAGTGCCTTCTGTGTATACCCAGCCCCTACCATCCCCACATCTGGGTGACCACTTCAAAGAAAACCCTTGTTTGTACATAAGTGCCCTGGCATGTTTGGTCAGAACAAAAGTTTCCTTAATGCCGTTGTCTGAGCAAAGCGCTTTGGGAACTTCGTGGAGGCAGGGATGCGTGAGGTGTATCTTCTGCCCTCAGGGAGCTCCCAGGATGGGAGCTCTGGCACAAGGCAGAAGATAGCACTTATGAGGGAGACTCAAAGGTCTTTGGGAGTCCAGAGAGAAGGTAACATTGAAGCTGGGCTTGGGGGCATGGCAGAGGAGATGGCGTGAACCCAGATACGGAGTGAGAGAGCCTTAGGCCTCCTGAGGGTATTAGCCGGTGGGCAATGTGGAGGTAGGAGGACAGTGTGATGGGGGAGCAGACCCAGCATGGAAGGCCTTACATGTCTGGCTAAGGAGATTGAAGGAGGGACATGGACAGTTTTAAGAGGGGCAGGGGAGACAGAGTCAAACCAGGGAGAACATAGAGTCCGGGGGGCCAGCTGAGAGGCTCCTGCACGATTCCAAGCAGGAAGTAGCACAGGCTGAAGGACAGCAGGGGTGTTGAAAAGCAGATGGCTTGGCAGTGGCTTTCAGCCTTGTTCCTGACGCAGCCCACCTGAAACCAGGCGTCTTCCCATCAGGGGAATTGGCTGAATGCCAGAAGGGAGGCAGAGGTGCCGGGCCCAGGAGCTGGGTCAGAACCTTCTGAGTTGGGGGTGAGGAAACAAATGGCAGGATGCGGTCACCTGCTTGATTCCAGCGTAACTTCCGTGGTGCTGTCTCTCCCTGCATTCATGTGTTCATGCATTCACTCATGCCCATTTTCTGTGGAGCCAACACTGCTCTAGGAGCTAGGGACACACCTACAAGAGTGACATGGGTTCTGCCATCAGGGCGTTTACCTTTCAGGGAGAGTTAATCAAGTTAATGGTGTTTCTAGGAAGGTGTAGGAGCCATAATATAAGCCTCGGCCTACGTGTGTGAACAAGCAGATAAAGAATATAGAAACTCCATTTGCATGTATATATTGGATAATTCAACCGAAGACAGAGGGTAGGTACAACAGCACCTGGGAACTGAGTCTCCACAGCACAGATGAAGAGTCCAAGCCCGTACTTGAAACCTTGTGTTCTGCTGCGTTCCCGAGGGGCATGTCCTTGGTGTGAGGGAATGCGGTGGGACCTCATTTTGAAGGTTTTGAAGGCAGCCGATCCCTGCCTTCATAGACAATGAGGTTCAGAGCTCCAGATGGGTGGGAACCTGTCGAGAGAAGTCCTAGAGTAAGAGACCACTGTTATTGTTGGGTTTAAACAAGGAGGCAGGATGACACAGACTAGGAGGTAGGGGACTGGTGGGCCATGTATGTCCTCCGGGAGGATGCTGACCTGCATTCCTGGTCTGGGTATTTGGAGGAGTCACAGCCTTGTGACTTAGGAAGCCAGTGGTCCATCCACCTCATCATGGGTTGATGCTGATGCCTCTTAAAATGGGAGGCCTGGCCATTGCCTTACTAGACTCTGGTGTGGCCATGTGCTCTTTAAGCTGTGGCTGTCACCATGTTTCCTGGCTTTGACTTCCTTCCCTACCTTGGGTAGGTGAATCTCCTCTCTCTCTCTCTGTAATTTTCTATTTTTTTTTTTGAGTTGAAGTCTCACTCTGTTGCCCAGGCTGGAGTGCAGTGGCAGGGTTCCTTTTTTTTTTTTCAAGTTGGAGTCTCACTCTGCACTCCACTGCACTCTGCACACCACTGCACTCCAGCCTAGGTAACAGAGTGAGACTCCAACTTGGAAAAAAAAAAAAAGGAAGCCTGGTGCCTCTCCTGGGTTTGAAGTTCCTTCATACCTTTAAAAAAAAAAAGCTGACATCTCTCTCAATATAAAAACCAAAAATAACCTCAACTTTTGTTTGTTTTGTTTTGCTTTTGAGTCGAGGTCTCACTCTGTTCCCCAGGCTGGAGTGCCGTGGCACGATCACTGCTCATTGCAGCCTTGACCTCCTGGGCTCAGGTGAACCTTTTGTCTCAGTCTCCTGAGTAGCGGGGACTATAGGTGTGTGCCACCACACCTGGCAAATTTTTGACTTTTTCAAGAGGCAAGGTTTTGCTATGCTGCCCAGGCTGTATAACCCTAACTGTCAACACCCTATGTTATGATGAGAACTTTAACTGCTTTTATTTCAAGATATTCTCTCTACCCTGCCATTACAGACTGAGCATTCCACACCTCAAAGTCTGAAATCTGAAATACTCCAGAACTCAAAACTTTGTGTGCCAATATGATGCTTAAAGGAGATACTTACTGGAACATTTTGAATTTTGTGCTTTTAGATTTGAGATGCTCAACCAGTAAGCATACTGCACGAATTCCCAAATCCCCAAAATTCTGAAATCTGAAGCACTCCTGGTCAGATAAGAGATGTTCTTTGTGTACTAGTTTTTGCTAATAACTTTGTGTGTGATTATAATCTCAGAGTATTGCTATTAAGTTACCTTTAATATGTCTATGTTCTTTTAGTCATGATTTTTTTTTTTTTTTGAGTCAGAGTCTCACCAGGCTGGAGGGCAGTGGCATACTCTCAGCCACTGGAGCCTCGGCCTGCTGGGCTCAGGCGATCCTTCTGCCTCAGCCTTCCAAGTAGTTGGAACTACAGGCATGCACCACAATGCCCAGCTAATGTTTTTTTATTTATTGTAGAGATGAGGTCTCGCCAAGTTACCCAGGCTGGTCTTGAACCCATGGGTTCACCTCAGTCTCCCAAAGTGCTAGGATTATAGGCGTGAGCCACCACACCCGGTCTAGTCATGGTTTTTAGTATTATGTCTATGTTCTTTTAATTATGATTTTTAATATTATGTCTGTGTTCTTTTAACCACTAACGTTCTCTTTAAAATTTTATTCTAAATAGCTTTATTGTAACATAATGAGCATACAATAATCACATATATTTTTAATGTACAATTTGATGTGTTTTGACAAATGTGTACCTCCGTGGAATCATTACTACAATTGCCTTGGACATGTCCATCACCTTCAAAAATGTCCTCATGTTCCATTGTAATTCCCCCTTCTGCCTCTCCCTGACTCCTGCCCTTGTCCCCAAGCAACCACTCATCTGCTTTCTGTTTCTATAGATTAGTTTACATTTTTAAGAATTTTATATAGAGAATCATACAGTATACTTTTTTTGTGTGGTTTCCTTCATTCAGTGTAATTATTTTGAGATTCATCCACGTTATTTTGGTATCAGTAGTTAGTTCTTTTTTATTACTGCTATATGGTATGAATGTACCACAATGTTTGCCTATTTGCCTGTTGTTGGATATTTTGGTTGTTTCCAATGTTTGGGTATGACAAATAAAGCAACTATAAGCATTCATGTACAAATCTTTGTGTGGACGTGTGCTTTCTTTTTCTT